TCTCTAAGCTATTTTGGGTTTGGTTTAAAATAATTGGCCAAGGCAGCTTTCTGGGATCCCCCCCTTCCAAACTTCTCCAATGAGTGTTCTCTTGTCACATTTCAGTTGGCCTCTCTCCCGTCAAAGACCTAAATAGCTGTGACATTTCTTAGACTTTTCTAGATCAACTGAGGTTAGTTGGCTGCAGTAGCAAAGAAAACTCTGTTACACTGAATATTCTTGGATTAGCCTAATTAGGGCCATCTTAAATTGACTTAAACAGGAGCAGTAGCTCATCAACACCGCAACTCAAGGAAATGGTTCTTCCAGCAAATGGATGTGCAATGGTCTCCTCTCTGTGGGAAATGAAGACCCTGATCTCACCTCTACACAGTGGCCTGCACCTGCATGCAAAACAGGGACCTCCACATCCTCTGCGCAGCCATCCAAGAAGCCAGCAGAACCATCCAAGGGACCACAAGGCTGTTCCAAGAATAAGAAGCACCAGCAGTAGGGTGCTTTAGCTAGAACCATCCAAGGTACAAGACCTGCAACACCAGTCAACTCCCACTCCCCCCCCCCAAATAAAACAAAAAAACTTATTATGTACAGCTAGTCAATCTTCATTTATTGATTAGCCCTTGGCCCACATCCAAGTGCAGAGATCAGAAATAAATTATTACTAAAGTTTGATAAAAGCAGTTTAAAATGGATATGGATAAAATACAATTTAAAATGAAATTGGAATAAAATAGTCTAAAATGAAATTGGAATAAACATGGGGCAGCCCTTGAAGAGTATTCGGAGACTTCAACTCGTCCAGAATGCAGCCGCGCGAGCGATTGTGGGTGCACCTCGGTACACCCACGTTACACCTATCCTCCGCGAGCTGCACTGGCTACCGATCGGTCTCCGGATACGCTTCAAAGTGCTAGTCGTAACTTATAAAGCCCTTCATGGTATTGGACCTGGGTACTTGAGAGACCGCCTGCTGCCAATTACCTCCCAAAGACCCGTTAGATCACACAGGGTCGGCCTCCTCCGGGTTCCGTCCACCAGCCAATGCCACCTGGCTACTACCTGGGGGAGGGCCTTCTCTGTAGCAGCTCCGACCATTTGGAACGAACTCCCCGCGAAGATTCGGACCCTCACCTCTCTCCAGGCCTTCCAGAAAGCCGTCAAAACCTGGCTGTGCTGGCAGGCCTGGGGTTGATGAGTTCCCCTCCCCTCTCGACCTGTATGGTTGTATGATTCTTGTTTATTTTAATTACGTGTATTGTGTTCTATGTTCCCCTTTCCCCCTTTGAGTTGTTCGCCGCCCTGAGTCTTCCCGGAGAAGGGCGGCATACAAATAAACTAAATCTGAAATCTAAAATACAATAATTTAAGATATGGATAAAATATGATAAAATTATATTTCACTGTCACCCCTGTAATCCACCCCAATCAGTCCCAATTATGCAGATCTCAACGGAACCATTTCGCTTTAGTGCTATGCTGTGCTGTGTTGTGCTGTGTTAAATGTTATTTTCAGTTCAGTGGTGGGTTTCAAATTTTTTTAGAAGCTTTTCTGTAGGTGTGTCCTGCTTTGTGGGAGTGGTGTGCCGGCCATGTGACCATGTGGGAGTGGCTTGCCAGCCATGTGACTGGGTGGGCATGGCCAACTTGTAAAATGTGGTGAAACTCATTTAACAACGCACTTGCTTAGCAACCAAAATGTTGGCTCAAAAACTCTGGCATTTGAAGTACGCAAGTCTTAAAGCTGTCAAGTTACAAGACCCTTGCACCCGATTCAGATACTGGCCGCATATAAGTTAAGTTCCCCCAAAATAAAAGAAACAACTTATTATGTATAGCCAGTCCTTTACTTATGATCACAGTTGAGCCCAACATTTCTGTGGCTAAGTGAGACATTTGTTAAGTGTGTTTTGCCCCCGTTTACGACCTTTCTTGCCACAGTTGTTAAGTGAATCACTGCAGTTGTTAAATTACTAAGATGGTTGTTAAGTGAATTTGGCTTCCCCATTGACTTTGCTTGTCCGAAGGTTGCAAAAGGAGAATCACATGACCCCCTCGGGACACTGCAAACATCATAAATATGAGTCAGTTGTCAGTTGATCATGTGACCATGGAGACATGGAAACAGTCGCAAGTGTGAAAAAGTTTTTTTCAGTGCGGTTGTAACTTTGAATGGTCACTAAATGAACTGTTGTAAGTTGAGGGCTTGCCTGTAAAAGTTGGCCCTCACCGTTGTACGAAAAGATGCATTTGTTCATTAATGACAAACAATAGCCTGTGAAAAGACAACATAGACTGGAAGAACACTTTGTGTAACATGCAAACGACACTAATACGAAGTAGCAACCACACATTTATTTCCTCTTAAAGTTTCCTGCTTTTCTAAATGATGACGGCATGAGAAGTTTTAACCTTACACTTGAAACTGTCAACACTTTTCTTTTTGCCCTCTCGCTAAAATATTTATAGTTTTTGGTTTTTTGCCTGTAATTTCATATTCTCTGCTGTTTTCTATAACCATTATGACTATGTTGTCAGTTTCTTTCTTAATTTAGCCTTCCTTTTGTCTTTTTTCCTTTTTATTTTTCTAAACATTTTGGCTTCTTTAATAATCAAGCATTTGCACTGAAAACTTGAACCAACTCTCTGGTTCCTCTGTTGTGGTTACTTTCATGTCCTTTGAAACATATTATTTTGACTGAACTGTCAAGATTTCAAAACTTGCTGCCAACATAATCTGCAGTCCAAATATATAGAGCAAAGAAAGGCATTTCCCTTATTGCCAATAGGGGGCAGTGCATGTCCACTCAACTATAGGATTTTTACCTGCCTAGCCAAAGAGAACAATGGGATCACCATAAAAGCAGCTTGAAATAATACTGTTATCTTCTCCGATTTTTATTATTGTTTTACAAAAGGGTATGTGAAAAAGTGGACTTTTCAGCAAAAGTTTTTCTCTCTGGTAATGAACAACAAATCCTGCTGGATTTAGTTTCAGTTTTTGTTTGACATGGCTAGTAAATAATAAGAAGCAAATTAAAATGTAATATTAATTTGTTGTCCCATTCAGCTCCATCCTTTTTATTCTGAGCTTAGATGGAAGGTATCTTCTTGATTGCCCTGCACTAAGGCATGGAAGCAAACACAGGAAGCTGCGTGGTGAGTTGTGTAAAATGAAGGGATCTGGAACAACCCCTTGTCTCTGCTTTGATGGCTATTTCCATAATAACAATTATTAGTTATAATCTTATCTGTTACCTCCAAACTACAATAAGAGACAAAACAACAGGGAATCCTAACCAGGAAAAAGCTTAAAAGGGGTTAACAAAACAGGTTAAAAATTATTTACAAACTTTGTGCAAATTGTGCACAAACCTGAGTAAGGATGGCTAAATAAAGCAGCTAATACCTGGGCTATATCATTTCTGACACACTGCCAAAGGGAGGGAATTCCATAAGAAGACACAACTGAGTACAGAAAGAAGTATCAGTGGGGTGTTTCTTTTTAAAAAGCCCCTACACTCCCAAAAATGACACTTCTGTAGAAAACAGGTGAGTGGTAATGCCAAGAGATTATACAGTGGTTCTTGTTTAGTGACTGCAATTGGAACCAGCAACTTGATCTTTAAGCCTATTTCTGGTTCGTTTGTTTTGTGTGTGTGGGGGAGATATAGTGTATAACCATGACAGTGCTTACCATATTAGTTTAGCTTTTTTTTCTTTTCTTTTTTACAGCATCAGAAAATGACTCCCATAAAAACCAGGTTACCCCAAACAGGTTTCTGGAACTTGACTCACAAGAAGCTAGATAAAAAGACAAATCTTATTGCCCCCTGCCCTTCCACTGGCCGTTGAAATGCTCACCCTTACATTGGGTTAATTGTTGAGATATTGATGTTTTGTATTTACATTCATTGGAGAAGAAGGGATCACAAGAGAGTAAGGCACACACACAAAACATGGAATACATGTCCAAAGGAATGCACTGGCATGAGAACATTTGCCATAAGCTGCTTAGGAGCAAACAAAAGCTTTCAGTGTGAAACTGATTAGAGTCTTGTCAGTGACAAGCAGCAGCCCCAGAAGATTCTAATTAAGGCTACAGAACTGAATCTATTAACCTGCAGTTAGCAATTTTTAGACATGCATGCACTATGGGGAAAAGCACCTTAGGAGATAGCTTTAGGCAATCTTTTAGGGATGGGGAGGGAAATGGGCCAGACAATACATAATAATAATGGCAAATGAATACACTGAAATTGAGTTGCTGAAAACGTTATAAATGCAGGCATTGATCGCAAAATTATTTTCACCACCCTAATTGCAAATGGTCGCTGTCCAAGGAAGTCACTAAACAAGGGCTACCTGTACACGGACTATTCAAAGTCATTTAGTCTATTGCCTTTGAGTTTTTACAGTTCAGAAATCCCACTACTTACCATATAGGGGCAACCGTGTTAAAATAAACATGTCAAAAGATCACAGATGATTAAATAATAATTTATTAACAGTATTTTCACAAAACATTCTAAAGAAAATTTCAGAAGTCTCTAAACTTAAAATTTGTTCTCATTTGCAAAGTATTCCTTTAAAAAAAGCAAGGAGAAAAAAAGTGTATCTTATAGATTTGTGTTTGGGACTTGTTTTTCAATTCCTGTTTTGGTTTGAAATAAATTCCTTTAATGCTTACAGTACCCTCTTCTCTTGCCAAGAGAAAGTAACTGAATATAAATTGATTTTTCACTTGTAAATATGTAGAAGGGCACTAGATATTTTCCCCAAGCAACACCTTTTGAACTTTTAACCTGATAGCAGTTTTGCAAATTCATTCAAGTTATTTTGCAATACATTGAATTCAAAACTCACTGTTGTCCAGAATGAAACCCACCATGCAGTACAATTGTTAGCATGCACTTTGGTGATTATTTTTGTACTCCACTGTATGTGTCTTCTCTGCCAACAAAGGGAGTCCCATTATGGTTTGATTAAAATATACTCAAACATTTTATGACATTAATATTTATTGCTTTATATGAATACTGTATTGAAAGCTCAAGCATCCAGTTTACACACAAATTATACAATTATATACCGTTTCACAATGGCAGTGAGCACTCTTTACAATCTACAAAAATCTACTTTACAGAAATTTAAAAATTCTAAATATCAAAAAGGTACAGTTGAAGAAACAGGTATAAATTTGGCAGCCAGTAAATGTGACTGGGAGGTTATATTTTGAGTGTTTTTACACACTGATGTCTGAAAAATATAATGTGACTTATTTAAAGCAGTAATTGTGCTTTGAGCTGGTTTTGGAAAGGAAGTGTTAACACTGGCTGTCAAAGTGGCATGTTCAAAAATATTTAGTTCACTTTCAAAATAATGTACAAATGGTAGCCATTCAGTTCTGATACGTAACTAAGACATGCAATGCTGCAGCATTTCATATCAGTCTTGATCTCTTACTATAAAACCATTATGTAATGTCAGAATTTTTTTCTGTTCACAGAAACTATATTGTCAGGTTTGCAAACATTCCTGCTACAAAAAAAAAAGCTGAAGATATTATTTTGAAATCTGTTCTCAACAGAGTTTTTCAACAGTAAAATGGAAACCTATCTTCCAGGCACCTCAGAAATGTACAAAAAGTGTTGTTAGAACAGAACTCTTGGAATGTATTTGACCTGGTACTTTCAACATTTGCATCTTTTAGGCTATCAGATGGACCTAATTTTATTTGGTTTATACGGGGGTAAAAATGTTTTCTTGTATGAAAGAACTTGGTTGCTTCTGTCTGGAACAGAAAATGCATCTAAAGTGCAAACATAGATTTTCTTTAGATTTGTATATTATTAAGTATTTATTATATGCCAATGTGTAGCTTTTTCAAGCACAAAATGTAGTCAAATGAAAATCTATAAACCAACAAGAAATTGAAGTGTTAAAAACCAAACCAAAAATTAACTGCTACAGCATTCAGGGGAATTAAAGGAGAGAGAAGTAATTAAATGTAGAATCTCCAAAAAATTGTCAGAATTAGAACTGCCTTCCAGTTTAAAAATTTTAATTCTAAATAATAAAAAACTATACACAGACCAGATTTGACCATACTGAAATTTCAGTGGCAAGCAGGACCTGAAGGAGCCAATATTTCACAGTAACAAGTACAAGTCCTTCAGGATTTAACGCACTGAGAAGTTCAATTTACAGCCTGCTTCTCTTGGAAAACTAACAGTCCACTTTTATTACATAAAATTATTTATACAGTGTAAAACCAGAGCCTCGTGGAAAATACTGCCTCTAAGTATATTAAAATTATTAGTCTTGTTCCATAGGTTCATCTGCAGCTTCTGTGGCTTCATCGCTGTTTTCCACTGGGGTCTCTGATGCAATTTCAGGAGTTTCACTAACATTTGAGCCCAATTCTTCTTTGTCACTGCTGTCAGCTTTGCTACTAAAAGATCCACTGTTCTCACTAGTTGGAGAAGATGAGTCTTTCATTGCTTGAGTCTCGTCAGATTCTCCAATTTGATTATTCTCCTCAGAAACATCTTCTTTCTCAAGTAAGGAGGCACTGTCTTTGTCTAGAACTTTTCTTTCTGGAAACACTTCTCTTGACATCATGAGAGAGTCTGGAATAAAGTTAGAATCTGTTATATGGATGTTTAAAACAAAGCAGCACTATAAGTTTATACAGGTAACAATCATGAAAATACACCTCTTCTTGTGCTTTATGCCTCAGTAGGTGGCAGCATTTAGCTGACCTTACTTAGTTGGGAACTTAAAAGATGCTATAAGTTTAGGTTAGTTCTTGAATAAGGGAACCCTTGGGAACTCCAAGTCTATTGCCTAGATTGGAACACTGGAGGAGAGGGGAACCCTGTAAGGTAGCAATGGCAAATCAATCCTGAAATATTACCAAGAAAACTGCATGATGCAACCAGACAGGGTTAAGATCATCTTGATGGAGCCTTTATTTGTATGGGGAAGTACAATATCAATTAGATAGCAGGGAAAGCGCCACTGCATGTGGTAGTCACAATACATAGTTCTCTGTGTATTTAAAGTTCTCATTTTGAATAACAAGCAAAATATTAGAAGAATATATTTACAGATAGGAAACCTGGAAGCCAGAAATGGATCACTATATTCTGCTGCTCCAACAAGAACATTCCATCCACCCCCATGATGATATTACAACACAATTACATGAGATAGTTCCACCAACCAATTTAACAATCAATCTCCAGTTTAAGGAGACCAATTCTGATCTCACACATTATTTGTAGCCCCAGGTTGAACTGTACAAACCTTGGTGTTATCTGAGCTTGGCTTTATTTTTTTTTGCAGACATTTCATTACCAAACTAGGCAACATCATCATTTCTAATACAGGGTGGTGCATTCTCTCATTTTATATACCGGTGGCTTGTCCTGCCAATGTTGGTGGGGTGGTCTTGGTGGTTCCTTGATTGGACTATTCTGTGTTAGCTTGTTTGGCACTTCCTTGATTTTTTCCTTTTTGATTGTTGGTCTAATGTTAATCTTGATGTTAATCTCTGATGTTCTGGATGTTGATTGCTGATGAAGAGTTGTCTGGGTCTTTTTGACTTTTTTAATTGTTTTGAATGGTGTGTAGATGTTATGTGCTTGTTGATGGCTGATTTGTCTGAATGCCATCCAGGTATTCTTTGACATTTTTCGACTTGGCTTAATTTAGAATGGCCACAGTTGCCCAGTTGAAACTGGTTGTGTTGTGAAATTAAGGAGCTTTTATCATGTTTCTTGACTGCTAGCTGGTGTTCATGAATGTGACCTGCTAGTCTTCTGCCTGTTTGTCCTACATAGTGGCTATTGAGGTCTTTACACTATGTTGTAGAGGACTCCTGTTTTTATTTCTAGGGCTGCTGGGCCTTTTGGCTTACTTAGGACATTCTGGAGGGCCTTGATTGGTTTGTGTGCTACAATGCCATGTGGTTGTAATATACTCTTGGTGGTTTCTCAGATGTTTTTGATCTAACATTGGCAATGTTAATCATTTCACAGATTGTATTGGTTGTGCTAATTGGATAGAACTGCAACTTGATGAAGTTGCATGGATATCTTGTTTGAAGATGTTGTATAGATGATTGGTTTTCTTTTTCTGATGTTCAGTGATGCTGCAGTGTGTTTGTGCTCATCTCCATATTGTGCTTACACACCTTCTCTTATGGGAGGTTGTGTTGTTACTTTGATAGTAGAGCACTTGGTTGGTGTGCATGGTTTTACGTTAGACTTGCATTTCTAATTTGCAATCATTGTCTCTTCTGATGAGAATATCAGAAAGGGTAGCATGTTGTTTTTGTCTTCCTTTAGTGAATTTTATACATTCGAAGAGGTTGATGATGATTTTGTGTGTTCTCTAGTTGGGTAGTTTATTATTGTGACAAACCAAACGCCACCAACACTGATAGGACAAGTATATAACTATATATAAGTGTACTTATATACATATATAAAATGAGAAGAAACCTCATTCCCTATTAGTACTGATGTTATCTAGCTGAGTAATAAACATCTCATGAAAATAACCAAACCCAGAAAGCACCAAGGACCCCACAATTTGCTAAATGTTGCAGTTACACTGGCACGAAGACAGAAGATGAAAAGTCAGTTTTAGTGACCTTTTATGAATTAAAGTTTGTGGAAATGTCACTGCACAAAAATCAGCTATTTACAATGCTGATTTACAAAACACAACACACATTTGCATCTGACCACTGGCACAAACAATTGGAGTTCAGTCTAAATTTAATACACAATCTACGCAATTTCACTGTACTATCAAAACATAGTACAGTATATTTATAGAAGCTTATTAGAAAGACCACTCCCAGATCTTTCTCATTCTTTAACTAGGAAACTTCAAACAAACTAGCATAATTTCAAACAAAATTGGGTTGGATGCGGATCTTATTCTATATGGAAATGAATGGGACATATTACAACTAAAGTATTATTTATGTTTAAGTCTGATTTCAACTCATGGAATTCAAAATAAATGATAAATGTAAATTTAAGCTATGTTTTAAACACATAATCACAACCATTTTCTACTGAAATTATATATACCTTCTTCCTCTTCAACTTCTTCTTTACAATGTTGTCTCTCTCCAATGGCTTCTTTTTCTTTATCCTGAGATGTAGAAGTTGTCTCAGTCTCTTCTACCATTGCTGAGCAAGTTTCATGGGAACCAGTCTGGTTGGAGGGTTCGTCAGTTACCTCCTCTTTGTCAAATTTAAGTCTTTTTACTTCATAACCTTCCATTTCTGATGGATCTTCTCCAGGGTGTTTGTTTTTTACAGGACAGTTTTGAACTCTTTCAGGCTCAGATGCTGGCGATTCACTAAAAGAGAGAAAAATAATGGAAACACAAAGGATCATATTTTCATATGAAGAGATAAAGCAGGGATATTGCATCTTAAGGAATCAATCCGGTTCCACCACAAATCCACGAAGCCCTTATCCGCGGAGACATAAGCGCGAAGACTAATTCGCGCCGTTCTAAGCGCTAAGGAAAAACGCAACCCTACCGCGATGACATAATCGCGGAGGGCAAATTTGCGTATTCCCAAGCACTCAGTACCCTAAACCTAACGCTAAACCTAACGCTAAACCTAACCCTAAACCTAACCCTAAAACAAACCCCTAAACCTAATC